TACTTAATTAGATGTCTAATACATCAAGTGTCGTATCAAACTATCAGTCGTGCTTCACAGTTTTTTTAACTTTATATGTAATTTTAGAATTTAGATAAATAATTACTTATTATTATTAGATTGACAACATACCAATTAGATTTAAAATAAATATCATTTTCAAAATGATACATACCAATTTCTATTACTTTATAATATAATTTTAATTTTATTTGATATACTCATGACATTTTGAAATTATATAAAAGGGGTTAAGTTTTATTAAATGGAAAAAATTGGACACGATATTGAACTATTGTACGGTGAATAATCCTTCATAGTCTTAACTACTTATTTATTGGTCTTTATTATTATATTATTTTATATTTAAGAATCCGAATCGTGCGAGCCAGACATATAGACTCAACATGTTTTGAAATTATATAAAGGGGGGATTCTAGTTATTTTAATTTTCTATATAGTATCTTATCATTTGTGCATCTTGATATATTATTTTAATTTGAACAATTTACTTTTAAGAAACTAGTAATTTAGCCTATATATATATATATGTGTGTGTGTGTGTGTGAGTGACGTGTGACTCATCCTATAATAATTTAGCATGAAGCCAAAGTCTCTCCTTAAATCTTAATTTCTATTGAAAATTATACATAATTAGGATATAAGAAAATTAAGGTAGAAACTATTTAATTAATCAATTAATTTCTATTAAAAATAAAATTGCTATTTTATATTAATATATTACCTTAGTCCACAATCTTGAACGATTTCAACTAAAATCGTTTGTCACTTCACTTTCACTACTTAAGAAATCAAGAAAATCACGAATCCTACCCTAACACATTTCCCACTCGGCACTTTCGCGTTCTGCCGCTCCCCTTTCAGATCTGCCATTCAGTTCCCGCTCTCGCCGTACCGACCTTGCCGTTTAGTTCTCGCTCTCGCAGTTTGGGTTAGCTCTCTCCTCTCTAATCTGTAATGTCCATCTCTTGATTTATACTCTAGTAGATTACAACGAAGATCGGAAAAAGAACCTACCTCTTGAAAGAATTACTTAAATCGTTCACCTTGAAAATCTTGCTCAATGAGAATCTTGGTGAGAGTTGAATTTGATCTAAGTTGCTCCTTGCTTTCGCTGTTTGCTTGTATTTTGAGGGTTTATTTTTATTTTTTTTCGCTAGTGTCAGGGGCTGCTTTGATTAATTGGTTGTATTTTGAGGGTTTTGTTTCTTTCTTTTTTTCGCAAGTGGCAGGGGTGACTTTGATGCTACACTACATCTTGTTTGATAATAATTGTTCTATGTTATTTTTTTTTTTTATTTAATGGTCAATTGATATTATTGATGTTAATGCTTACTTGATCTGTTGATGCATTTTGTCTTTGATTACTGACTGAGTTCTTTTCTTTATTTCAGATTCATATAATGGCTCCAAAAGCTTGTAAGGAGTCTGATTTATCATCAACGATAAGTGGTAAGAAACAAAAAAACAACTTTTATTTTACTTATTTTTATTTTTTGATCGTAATATTGTTTGCTTCAATATTTTGTAGCTGCGAGTAAAAGAAAAGCTAATTCCAAAATAAATCAATTGATGTCGACGTCAAGTGCTCCAAGTCCCTCACGTACGGTTGATTCAAATACAGATCCAACTGAAGGCGCCTCTTGCGTACCTGTAGCAAAAAAGGGCAGGTCTGAGGTATGGGATCATTTTGAAAGATTGAAAGATGCCAATGGTATTGAAACTGGAAGGGCTAAATGTATTCATTGTAAGAAAAGCTATGTTTGTAAAAGTGAGGTTGGAACTTCAGGGTTGTGGAAACATCTAAGAGAAACGTGTTCGAAATGCCCAATTAAAAATGATTTGGTTGAAGCTCACAAGCGTAAAGATAAAAGTGAAAAAGTCTTAAATTTTCAAAATGCAAGTGATTCTGGGGATGGTAAACTCTCTTGTTGGAAATTTGAGCAGGAAGCTGTACGGGAGGCACTTGTTAGGATGATTATAAAGGATGAACATCCTTTTAGGTTTGTTGAGGGAGACGGTTTTAAACAATTTATTGAAGTTTGTTGTCCCTGGTTTTCTATTCCCTCAAGATTTACTATTGCTAGGGATTGCTTTTCTATCTTTGTAAAAGAAAAGGAAAAATTGAAAGCACTTCTTAAGTCTCATTGCCAAAGGGTGTCTTTAACTACCGATACATGGACGAGTATCCAAAATGTCAATTACTTGTGTTTGACAACACATTTTATTGATCCTAACTTGATAATGCAAAAATGGATTTTAAATTTTTGTGTTATTAAGAGTCATAAAGGGGTAAACATTGGAAATGCAATTGATTTTTGCATGGATGAAGGGGGCTTGGATAAGGTCATGTGCATTACGGTTGACAATGCATCATCTAATGATATGGCCATCCAACAATTGAAAAAGAAATTGATGAAAAAAAAGGCCTTTGTCTTGGATGGGGAAGCTTTTCACATGAGGTGCTTTGCTCATATTTTGCAATTGATTGTTAAAGATGGCCTTTTGTTTGCTTGTGATTCTGTGACAAAGATTCGGAATGTTGTGCGGTATGTAAGGGCTAGCCCGCAAAGGCTAGATTTGTTTAAAAAAAGTTGTGCAGAAGGAAAAATCTAAAGTAAGGCTTCTTTGATATTAAATTGTCCTACAAGGTGGAATTCAACTTATTTGATGCTTGAAATTGCTTTAGTATTTCAAAAAGCATTTGATAAGTTGGAAGATTTGGATGGGAACTTTTTGAAAGAGTTTGATGATCAATTGCCTTGTGAGAATGATTGGAATTATGTTGCTCATTTCGTAAAATTTTTGAAATGATTTTATGATGTTACTTGTAAATTATCAGGAACATTGTATGCAACATCAAACATGTATTTTCCTGAAATAATTCGCACTTTGAAGGAAATTGAAAATTTTGAGAAGAGTGGCGATATGTGTTTGATGGAAATGAGGAAACAAATGAGGGGCAAGTTTGATAAATATTGGGGGTCTATCAACAAAATAAACTTGATGCTTTTCATTGCTGTGGTACTTGATCCTAGATACAAGATGAAGTATTTGAGGGTCAAATATGCATTTCATTATAGTGAAAGAGAAGCTGATGAATTAGTGGATAAAGTAACTCGATCTGTGAAAAGTTTGATTAAGGATTACAGTAGCTTGAGTGAAAAAGGTGATGGGGGTGAATGCCAAGGGTGAGTCTAAGAGGTTTGACAAGGTCATTAACATTGATGATGATGGTGATGAATTTTTTCTGGAAGAAGAAAACCATCAAAAGGCAGCTACTAAAGATGAATTTGATCGGTACTTGGTACTTGGAGGAGTTTTCTGAAAAATACAGCCATGATTTTGATATTTTGGCTTGGTGGAAAGTTAATTCGGTTAGGTATCCCTATTTAAGTTGTGTTGCAAGGGATGTTTTGAGCATTCAATCATCAACCGTGGCTTCCAAATCTGCTTTTAGCACTGGTGGTCGAACTTTGGATCGCTTTAGGAGTTCTTTAACTCCTACCACAGCCGAAGTGCTTATTTGCTGCCAAGATTGGCTACGAAATGCCAACTCACCAATAGAAGTGGAAGAAGTTATAGAAGATCTTGAGAATCTTGAGACGGGTATGCTTTTCATATAAAACATTTAAGAACTTTAGTTGCTTTAAATTAATTTATGTTACTCCATTTATAGTTCTAAATTCTATTTGTTTTACATCATTAAAATTCGAATTTTCATCTTATTCTTATTGGTGTATGACATTGTCTCAATTTTATGTTGATCTTACAGATGCAATGCAAGATTCGGATATTAATGGAAGCTTAATTTCACGGACATCTTTGGATATTTGACTAAAAGAGACATAGAGGTATATCTATATGATTATCTTCTAAGTTCTAATGTTGTTTGGTTGTATATGGAAAAAAGGTAATATGCTAATGAGGTTTTTATGAGTGTCTGAAGTCCGAACAGTGAACACTATATCCTGGAAAGAAGACTTGGAAATTGGAATGACAAGATTGTAATTTTAAATATTTACTAACTAGCAGNCTTTTTGTTACATTTTGATCTTATATTTGGAATTGTAATTTGTGCATGTTTTGCTAGTTTTTCTCTTGGAGTAGGCTGAAGTTGTTGGACTTGTTTATGTGGTGGACCTTGTATTTCTATTGTTAGTTTTGTGTGGCTGTGTCATATTTTATAATTGACATTTGGCAGCAGGTTTTTTTTTAAAATAAAAACTGAAAATCTCCGAACCATACCGAACCGACCCATTAGACCCGAATATCCGAACTGAACCGGACTGAAATTCAATCCGGTTCAAAACGGAGATTTTTTGGAACCGATTCGATTCTGGAGATTCGAATTTTAGGATCTCCGAAATTCGGTTCGGTTCCGGAGATTGTAAAATATCCGACCCGACCCGACCCGTGCACAACCCTACTTTCCATCGACCAAACGACAAACACTGTAACCTATCAACCAAAAGGGAATAATAAAAAGTAAAAACTCTCCCCTACATTTAGGCTTGTAAACAAATCAAATTTTTTTGATTCGATTCGATATTCGAATTTGATATTCGTGATTCGAATTCGAATACGAATAATGTTTTATATTCGAAAGTTAAACGAATCCGAATTCGAATTTGTAGATATTCGATTTGAAATTCGAATATTCGATTCGTTAACAATAATTATATAAATTTTATAAATTATATATAGTATACATTTTGTTTATAATATATATCTATATATATATATTGTTATATTCCTACGATTTTTATGACATAAAAAGTAAAATCATCATAAATTAACAAATTTTCCTAAAAATATATGAAAAATAAAAATTATTTTTTGTAATTATTATTTTGTAATTATAATTTTTTTTTTTTGAAAACGAATTTCGAATGGAATCGAATATGTTCGAATATTCTAAACGAATCGAATACGAATAAAAAAATGAGTTCGTTAACTAATCGAATATGAATTCGAATCACGAACCCTACCTGCATTTCCCTCAACCAAACAACCCCTTACAGGCGAGGGTCACGAAACCCCTCTTGCCGAGATTAGTCGCCATATACCCTTCAATCCAATCCATTTGTTTCAAACGCTAAGTTTGTTGGAATCTACTTACAATGGCTGCGGCAACGATGGTCAGCTCGGCGGGTGGGCTGCTTTCAATGCTGACTGAAAACCATCCGGCGCTCAAGTTACACGCGCTCTCAAATCTTAACGCTTTTGTTCACTACTTCTGGCCGGAGATCTCGGATTCTCTGACTATTATGTAAATACCATTAAGTTTTCTTCTTTCTTTTCATGAAACTATGGTGTTGCTGATGAATTATGTTTAGCTTTTATCATTTGAAGCTGATAGTTATCGAATTAGGGATTTTGTTTATGTTGGTTTCTGAGGTGGTAGTGTGTCGGGGAGTTGGGGTTCCTATAAAGAGCTTTGTATTAGCATATGCCGTTTTAGTTATTTTTTACTACATTTGTTATGTTAAGGCGATTTCTTATTAGTTTCTAATTCGAATGTAGTTGGAGTGCGACTGGGATTTGGTACTTTGGTGATTGATTGTGGTTTTGGTGATGGAGAACATCCTCTAGGAAGGATAGGGGATGATAGCAGGACAGTAATTGCTGTGACTATGGTCTAGAATGCAGTTTTTACAGTGTCAAACGGATCAAAATGATATATATATCTATCATGTATGTATATGTATATATTTCAGTTTTTGCTTGAAGCACATGGTTTTGTTGGAAGTGGTTAATTGGGCTTTCAAATTTGATAGACAACCTTAATTTTGATTTGATTTCTTTAGTTTGCTATTTTACAATATGTTTATCTTTTTTAGTCTTTGAATTATTTGATGGCCATTCATTTTCTCTAATCAATTTCTGCACACACTTTCCTTTTCTTTCTGACACTTATGTGAAATCCTAGTACTTACCGTAATGATATATACTAATCGATTTTAATTATGTGGCTGCAAGCTTGTTTTCTGTTGTCATTAACTTATCTGCTGACTAATTCTCTCGTGTCCATTTGTTTGTAATGCTGTCTTTCAAATGCAAACTATCTGGTTTGTTTTGGGGGCAGAGAAAGCTTGTATGAAGATGAAGAGTTTGAACAGCGGCAGCTTGCTGCTTTGCTCGTTTCAAAGGTAAATTTGTGTATGTTTTTAATATAGTCATTATTTATTTCATATGAATTTTGCTCTCATTTTATTTCGTATGGATATGGATTTTGCTCCCTTTTTTTTGTGTCTAATGCAATTTATTTGATTGCCTACTTCTTTGGCCCCTAAAAAGTGACTTTATGTGGTTTCAGTTGAGGAGTTGGTAGTTTCAAATGATATTAGTTTTTGTAAACCCCAATTTTATTCTTGTGTTCGTTATCTTTGTTTTGTATGCTGAGGTTTTTGTTCTTCCTAAAGTTGGATTCTCGGGGTAGCGTTCATGTTACATATATTAAATAGGATAGGTCAAAATTTTATATTCAGCTTCTTTGTGCTGGATTGGATGAAGTTGACAACTAACCAGCATCATTCGAAGTACCTCACATTCACAGGGAATGATGTGGTAGTTACATAGTTTTAGAAAGTGAACGGCTTTCCGAGGCGATTTTCCAGTGGAACAGCCACGAGGTAATGTCATAGCTAGGCCTCGGCAACATGAGACAACAAAATGTCGAAAAACAATAATGTAGATGGTGCAATTACATACTCAATTTAAACCGGAAAATCAACCTCAAATAGTCATAAGAATGCAAGAACACAAATCACAAAACATTACTAAGGAAATGAAAAGAAACACAATATTCATCAGAGTACATAGTCAAATACTATAAAATAAGCAACAAGGACTCTTCCTCAAAATGATACACTATCCTTATTGAGTCCTTGTTCCCTTTTTTTTTTCCTCTCTCTCTAGGAACTCCCATGTCATATTCTATAAATTCCTCTTCCGTTAGTCCTATAGTATAGAGCTTTTGAAGTAGGAATTTAACTTCCTTTTTTTCGACTCTTTCTCTTCCCATTGCCCTTTTCTACCTCATTGACTTGGTACTTTGACGTATGTGGGCTCCTCTGCTTCTTTAGTTAGTCCAGCTTTACCGTCAAATACTAAATCATCCTATCATTACTCTCTCCTTCCATTTGGCCAATCAACTATTCATTGCACCCATCAATCACGTTCAATGGGAGAGGACCATTTCAATCATGCCCAACGTGTTGATGCCTTAGAGCATGCTTGTACTTCCATTCACCATTGAATGCCCAACGTGTTGATGCTTGTACTTTCATTCAATAGGTTTTTTGGGTAAGCTTGTTCCATAAATTATAGAAAATAAAGTAATTATATCCATTAGATTAATTTAATAAAATGAAAAAAAAACCATTATATGAAATTCTTACATATTATGAAATACTTCTATTGCGCTTGCAACCTAACACTGCACGTGTGACTGAGTTTTTGCAAATTCCTCAATTTCAGTGTCCAATGCATAATGCCACCACTCTGTCGGCATTAAAAAGGATAGCCGCATACAACCACTTTGAAATGGCCATGCATACTCCCTCTAAACTCTGTTCCACTTACACCTATAGTGTTTTCTGTCATCAGGTTTTCTACTATTTGGGTGAACTTAGTGACTCATTGACATATGCCTTGGGGGCCGGTTCACTATTTGATATATCTGAAGATTCTGACTACGTTCATACTCTGCTTGGTAAGAATTATATCTTTTTTTTTCCTTTTTCTTTTTCAATATTCTTGATGTTAAGCTGAAGTAATTCTCTTTAATTAATCAGAATGAAATGATCTTTTGGTATGTTTTTCAAAAAGAACGATTAGGTTCTTACAAGATGCTTCTTGTGCTTTGGTGCTTCTATTAGTTTATATAACACTTTGGTCCCCTGCAGCCAAAGCAATTGATGAATATGCCAGTCTCAAGACCAAAAAAGATGAGGCAAAAGATTCAGCAGTGATTGATCCTAGACTGGAAGTAATCGTTGAGAGAATGCTTGATAAGTATGTAAAACTGTCATTTTAATCTCCAAACTTAGGAACATTGTTACCTTGCATATATGATGTTCTTGTCACCTTTTCCACAGGTGTAGAACAGATGGAAAATGTCAACAAGCAATAGGAATGGCCATTGAGTGCAGACGAATGGATATACTTGAGGAAACTGTTTGGAACAGTGATAATGTTGATGTTCATTTTATTATGAGATATTGCATTGATATCTGTCACTCGTTTGTCAACAACAGAACATATCGGCGTGAGGTGACATCATTTACCTTATTCTACAATCATGTTTCCATTGGACTTTTTCTTATATGCTTCAATCGTGTTCTTCCAGTTTGCATAATGTATATGGTATTGCTCTTAGAATAGTTTATAAAGTGCGTGTATGATGTTTGTCCATGGCTTTCTGTTAATGTACTAATGTAGCAGAAAGCGGTATATAAGAATCCAAATGATTCCAGTGTATCTAATATTTTATATCCTAATTTGTATCGATTTATGTAAGTTATAATGGGACTAATTCTTTTGCTTGGAAGTGAAATGCACCCTGATACATAGGTTTTGCATTATTTACATGGGCGACTACGTAAATAATATTTAGCTCCATTTTTAGATTTAAACATAAATTGATAATGAAACATGTGGTATCATGTGAATCTTTAGGGGAATGATTTATTATTTATTCAGGTGTGAGATGTGGTTGTTTTTGCATAGTTTAGGTTGGCCTAATTTCCGTACTAATCCTTTGAGATGTTTTTTCACTCACTGTGCTTTACCTCTTGCAGGTTATCCGTGTTCTTATCAAGGACTACGAGTATCATCCAACCCCTGATTATCTGTGTCTTTGTCAGGGACTTATGTTTTTAGACGATCACGAATCCGTTGCTAGCATATTTGAGAAACTTTTGCTATCAGAAAATGTGGACGATGCACTATTGGCATTTCAGATAGCCTTTGATCTTGTGGGGAATGAGAACCAAGCCTTCCTTTTGAAGGTGGTGGATCAGCTTCCTAGTCTTAACTCACAGTCTTCAGAACCTTTGCAATCGTCGGAGTCTGCTCAGCCAGATTCTTCAGCCATTGGAATTGTCCCAACATCAGAGGATGCTCAAATGACCGATGGAGCTCAAGCAGACAGCAACACAACGCTTATTGACAGAAGGGAAGCAATATATGATGAGAGACTGGAAAAGCTGGAAGGAATTTTGTCTGGAGAGACTTCAATACGATTGACTTTACAATTCTTGTACAGTCATAACAAGTGAGGCTATTTTCCTTTTATTTGTAACTTAATGTTATGTGTTAGCCCACAACCATGCTGAGATAAAGTGATCAGAATTATAATGCATGTTCTCTGTGTCGCCCATTAACAGATCAGATCTTCTCATTCTTAAGACGATAAAGCAATCTGTTGACATGAGAAATAGTGTATGCCATAGTGCAACAGTATTTGCGAATGCCATTATGCATGCTGGAACAACTGTCGATACTTTTCTTAGGGATAATCTGGTAAGCGCCCATATGCTTAGTTATAGGTTTTCCTACTTTTTTTTTTTTGGTTTGTCTCATAGGATTTGTTCAATTTCAGTAACTTCTAACTTTTAGCTAATACTTATGTTTGAATTGTCAGGACTGGCTGAGTAGGGCTACAAATTGGGCTAAATTTAGTGCAACAGCAGGACTTGGTGTCATACACAGAGGCCATCTGAAGCAAGGAAGATCTCTCATGGCACCTTACTTGCCACAAGGTGGGGCTGCTGGCAGTCCATACTCTGAAGGTGGAGCTCTGTATGCTCTTGGTTTGATTCACGCAAATCACGGGGATGGCATCAAGAAATTTCTGCGCGAGAGCCTTAGAAGCACTAATGTCGAGGTCCTTGGATTCTTTGATTAAATATCTTATTTTTTTCAATCAGCTTTTTTTTTTAAATCAGAAAAACCTGTGGCTAAGTGCCTTGAGCTGTTGAAATGTGCAGGTTATCCAGCATGGGGCCTGCCTAGGTCTTGGTCTGGCAGCTATGGGCACTGCTGACAGTGACATTTTTGACGACATAAAAAATGTGCTGTACACTGACAGTGCTGTTGCCGGTGAAGCTGCTGGAATTAGCATGGGTTTGCTGCTGGTTGGCACTGCAAGTGAGAAGGTTGGCGAAATGCTCGCTTATGCACATGAAACCCAACATGAGAAGATTATTAGGTAATTCAGATTCTAAAATATGTGAATGTGATAAATAATTCTGACAATCCTTTTCTTTTTTTCAATTAAAAAATTATTTCCTTTTTACCATTAATTTATTTTGTGTATGGCGTTTAAATAGGGGTTTGGCCTTGGGAATAGCACTTACAGTCTATGGCAGAGAGGAAGAAGCCGATGAACTGATTGAGCAGATGACTCGCGATCAGGATCCCATAATACGTTATGGTGGCATGTATGCTTTGGCCTTGGCCTACAGAGGAACGTCCAGCAATAAAGCCATACGTCAGCTGCTGCACTTTGCCGTGTCAGATGCTAGCGATGATGTCAGGCGGACTGCTGTTCTTGCCCTTGGGTTTGTGTTGTATTCTGAACCTGAACAGGTTTGTGCATTCTCTTGTGTTTTTTTCTGGCCTTTTCTTCTGTAACCTCTGTTTTAAGTTTTATATATTGATGGACTCTTTGGGCTGCATTGAATTCCATATGTTCTGAATCTGTTTTATTTACTTCTTTTCAAAATGCAGACCCCTAGAATTGTTTCTTTATTGTCAGAGTCCTACAATCCACATGTTCGGTATGGTGCTGCACTGGCAGTCGGGATTTCTTGTGCGGGCACTGGCCTTAGTGAGGCCATATCGTTGCTGGAGCCTCTTACATCAGATGTTGTTGACTTTGTTCGTCAAGGTGCTCTAATTGCAATGGCGATGGTGATGATCCAGATCAGTGAAACTAGTGATTCTCGTGTTGGTACTTTCAGGTATTGTATTTGATTGGTGTGTTACACTTGGTCCTTATGCTTTGTTAAATTCTTTTGAAATTTTCATCTCTGCATGTGGAACTTGTGATTGTGAGTAAGTTCTATATTTCTATTTGTCTCTCATGCAAAATTCTACGTCCTCTTACTATTAACTCTTTTATTTTCTTCTCCCACCCTTCCTATTCAAATAAGAAATTTGACAGTGTTTTAATTAATACAATGTTTAGTAATTTTTCTTGACCTCGAGGACAGGCGAAATGAGATCTGGATGACCCGTTGTTCAGATTTTCCTTTTTTTTTGTTCAAATTTAATGGACTGTATTTATACAATTATTTCCACAAGTTTATTTTCTCACTAGCATTCAACATCTTGAAAAGATTCTCCATCACATTGTCACGATGGTTACTTTTTCACTAAACATCCAGTTTTCACAAAAAAACTTTCATCACTATTCACTCTGATAATGGAAATGGACTGAAATTGGAGAAAGTTACAATTATTTTTTACGACATGCTTTTTCTTCATGTCACTTTATTCCGTCTAACGCTTAGGCACCAACTGGAAAAGATTATACTCGACAAGCATGAAGACACAATGAGCAAGATGGGTGCAATTTTAGCCTCCGGAATTCTGGATGCTGGTGGAAGGAATGTGACCATCAAGTTGCTTTCAAAGTCGAAACACGACAAAATTACGGCAGTTGTTGGTCTTGCTGTGTTCAGTCAGTTTTGGTACTGGTACCCACTTATATATTTCATAAGCCTGGCATTTTCACCAACTGCCTTCATAGGTCTGAACTATGACCTGAAATTGCCAAAGTTTGACTTCCTGTCGCATGCAAAGCCTTCATTGTTTGAATACCCTAAGCCTACTGTTGTGCCCACCGCTACTTCAGCTGTTAAACTACCTACAGTGGCTTTATCGACTTCGGCAAGGGCCAAGGCAAAGGCCAGTAAAAAAGAGGCTGACAAGGCCGAGACTAATTCTGGCAAGGCTAAAAGTGCTGACAAGGACAGTGACTCCATGCAGGTTGGTATTTTCTTAGTTGTTTCGATTGACACTCTCATTTTTGTTAGCAATAGTTTTTATTCTACCTTGCGGATTGGTCTTACTACCCAGAAAAGAAGTTGAGAGAAAGAAATAAGTAAATCTAAGATTACTCAGAAATAACGAGAAACATCCTTGATTCTGACATCGGCCACAGTTGGTGGAACTCAATGTTAATTCCTAGCGTCATTATATGCTTTGTTTACATTTGTATATCCCTTATTCTCTAGATATTACAAATACGCTAGACGTAAGTTTTTAGGTCCTGTATCATTCTTAGAAAAGTTTTAGCCCGACCGTAAAATATTTGATGACATCAGCAAATTTCGTAATTGTCAACCAACAGTAAGATTGCAGAGCAAGACGGGACTCAAATCTCATCTTCAGTCCTTGTATTTTCAAAAAGAGAAATGCTAAAGGTACATAATATTGTACATAGGGATGTACATAACACTCACATTGAGTGGGACCTACCAAAAACAATAAATCAAGTGGATGTGAGTGGGACCTACCAAAAACAATAAATCAAGTGGACCCCACTCCATGTGAGTGTTATGTACACCTCTATGTACATTTATTATGTACTTGTAGCATTTTTCTTCCAAAATTAGTTGATTATTTTTTTATTTTTATTTTTCTTTCTTGTAATTACCTTAAAACCTCAAGGAACAGTTTCTGCAACTTCTATTCATAATTTTTCTTCAGTTAGTGTTAATTGACTCTCATCTGCATTTTTCCCCATTGTAAGGCTGATACCACCACTACAGAGAAAAAATCTGAACCCGAGCCAACATTTGAAATTCTGAGCAACCCAGCTAGAGTTGTCCCTGCCCAAGAAAAATTCATCAAATTCCTCGAGGAAAGCAGATACATCCCAGTGACTTCGGCCAGCTCAGGATTTGTGCTTCTGAAGGATTTGCGTCCGAATGATCCTGAAGAATTAATTCTCACTAATGCTCTCCCATCAACAACAACAACGGCATCGAATGCCGGGCAGCATGGATCATCCTCTGCTGCTGACATGGCTGTGGATGATGATGAACCTGAACCCCCGAGACCGTTTATGTACTCATCGTGAATATCTTTTTTGTTAGATGCTCGACAGGTGTTTTTTTCCAAGCTGGCATGGAAATCCTTTTGCAAGAATGTTGAATTTTGTAACAACGCATTGTAGATTTTGACTAATTTTCCCACTGTGCTCTGTAACTGGCTAGGAAGTGAGGTGGGGAACTGCATTTTCACTGTATCCGCGTCTGCATTTCTTAGTGAGGCTATGTTTGGAACTTGGAATTGTTTGTTGAACTATTTTGGTTTCATTCATAGTTTTAAGTGAACAGTGTGGTGTGGGGAAAATCTCTTATGCCTTATACATAGGACATGTTTGTTTATGGAAATTTTGCAAAAAAATTTCACATTTTAACTCAACCATTTTTTTTTAACTCAACTTTAATTCAACCCACTATCATCAAAATTATTAATATAATTAAATAATATAAATCAATCATTCATACACACCGCACCAACCTTAATTCACTATTTATCCACTCACATTATTTTAACTAACCATCACTTCAACCATCTCTTTTCTGCTTTTACATCAAATCAATTTTAATTATTTTATTTTAAATATTATTTTAATATACACACTAACAACAAACCATACAATTTTTTAAAAAATTAACCAAACCAAAACCAAAAATCTAAATAAACTAAAAATTTTCATAAACAAACATGCTCATATTTTCCGTATTTTTCCCTCCAGATTGCTTTTCAAGGTTTTGACTTTTGAGCACCTAAATTTTCTGTTAACAAGGAGATCTTGCAATCATGAATTTATTTATTTATTTATTTTTTCAAACGGCAAACACTTGTATAAATAGAAAATTCAAAGAGAGTACAGAGGAGATGTCAACTGACACTAAAGAATCGAATAATTGGATCTATTCTTTTGAAATTCCAAAGAAATCTAAGAGGTACACCTCCATTAAGGAGGCACCACAAAATCAAAACGAAACTCCATAAAGGAGTTAAAATCATACAAACTGTACCATCACACGAAAAAACAAAGATAAAATCATACAAGCTGTACTAATACACGAAAAACAAATAAAAACGCACACTTAATAGACAAATAAACTAAGACCTTCCCTCATACCCAATGCCTAGCCACCTGAAACCGCACACGAGCCACTTCCAATGGCATAGAAATCCAACAAAGCTGCCAATTGGAACTTCAAGCCCGAAAACTACTAAACGGATCGAATGGAGAGTATTAGAATTTTAGGTACCGAAAATTCCAGATTTCACATAATGATAAAAAATAAAATATGTAGCGGAAAATAAATAAATACAAAAGATTCAAAATTTAGCTTCACTTGTAGACTTGAAAATTACTTGTAGACTAAGTCCACATGCCAAAAATTCACTAGAACAAATAAATAGACGATCTCAACACGTCTAGTGAAATACGAGAAAATAAGCCTGATAGATCTCGTGTGCAAAACGAAAGAAGTATGACTGATCCAAGCACACGTTGCCGCCTTAAAACAATTGATGCTGCTTCAATTATCTTCAATCTCACGCATGTTGTTGTCTTGCTTGTTGGCAAAAATCTCACGCCACTCCTCTTGCCCAGGAAAAAAATGTTTGCTGCCCTTTCTCTTGTCAAATAACACCGTACGCCACTCTCTTTTTTTCTTCTTCTCCAAGACAAATCTCTTCCAAATCCTTTTTCTTCCTATACCTAGTAGGACATAATAAGATAAGGAAACTTTTTAACACAATAATATTATACCATATCAAATAAACTGAACCCCCGAGACCGTTTATGTACTCATCGTTAAAATAAATCAGAAAAGCAAAATAAATTGAAAAACAAAAAAAATACGATATAACAATCTTCCCTTTTTTGCTTTTCTGAACAAATCAATATGCAAATATCATGAATCGAAAGCATAAGCAATATTGAACTAAGTATTAACCACTCCCCCTAAATCCCCTCTATATATAATTTTAGAATGTGCTAAGCCTACGTGACAAACTGTCATGCTTCAGAATCTTATTTGGAAAAAAATTATTCTTTGGAGTTAGGCTTGGATATAAATTAATATTTGTATTAATTGTATTTTAATATCATATTATAACTATTGAATTCCAAATATATTTTAAAAGTTAATAACTTTTGTATTTCTTATCGGTTTTACATATATAATATATAAAATTAATCATCTTTTTTATGAGCTACGATTTGACATCCATATTGTATATATAAAATAAATAAATTATATTTATCTTTTATAATAATAATAAAATTATTTATTAAAATTAATTAAAAAATAAAATTATTTATCAATTAATATATTTATGTTTAATGTATTTATATGTTATAAGGTAGAAAATTTATTATAATATAGCACATACAATTTGCACAATTAACATGTGTCATACTAAAATATATTAATAATATATACTCCCTCCTATTTTTATTATTTGTCACTTTGGCTTAATTGATCATTGATAAAATAAATGTCGTTTTAAATAGTTTGTTCATATTTTTCCATTTTTAACCCTCCATCTAATACACAGTGTCTCTTCATATCCAATCTCCATCGTTTCACATAACATCCATTAAATAGGGTTAATATTGTCAAGAAAAAAAATTCTTAATTAGTGTGTTGCATTTGAATTGATATTATGAAATATATATATATATATATAATACAAAACAGTAATATATATTCTTATAAATAAAATTTAAATTTATTTATCAAACTAAATTAAATTATATCAAAGAAAACTATAAATTATACTATAAAGTAATAGAAATTGGTATTTATTCTTTTAAAAATGATATTTATTTCAAATCTAATTGGTATGTTGTCAATGTAATAAAAATAAATAATTATTTATCTAAATTCTAAAATTACATATAAAGTTAAAAAGCTGTAACACGACTGATACGATACTTGATGTATTAGGCATCTAATTAAGTAAAAAAAATAATCTATTTTGCTTAATATTAAATAAACATATTATACACTTATGCATATACATATCACCATATTATTTCTATTTAGTTAAAATATATTTTTTGTACTTATGTAATAGTAAATAATTTCGATATTTTTATATGATATAAGTAAAAAAATTCAATACGGGTTGACATTTTCATTTAATGTATGAGTGTTTAATTATTATGATTAAAAAAATATAATTTGACAATTTGATTAAAACCCAAAGTAATGTTTTATATAAAATTAAATTATCTTAGTTTTTTAAAAAATAAAATATTTAATATTTTTTACAAAAGCTTTCTAATTCAACACCCGTGTAATACACGGGTATTGTACTAGTAACACATTGAACACAAATATAAAGGGCAAATGGCACTAAATCCCCCTGTGTTTTACTAAATGTGCACGTTATCCCCCTGTGTTTTAAAAAATGCATACTATCCCCTCATGTTCAAGTGTCGACGGCTCACGCTCCCCTTTTTGACCCTGGGTGCAAACACCGTTAGTTATATTACAAACTCCCCGTTATGTCCCTCCTTTAGAATCGTCGTCTCACATTCACACCCACTCTGGTACAGACAGAACGAAAAATCCCATATTCGAAAATTCTCAACTACGAAAAAGCCCAAATTTCCAACAAATGTACTAAATCGACGACGAACTTATGTTAATCTCACGTCGATGGCGACTTCTGAATAGCTTTCAATATGGTGGAAGAAGAAGTGACTCATTATTTTTAGTCCGCGACAAATTAGGTTTCTCGTTGTCGATCTCATATTCTAAGGTATTTTCACATTGACTTTCTTCCTATGTTTTACTAGATTGTTTACGTATGGTTGAACCTTCAAAGCTTGTTTGTTGAATGCATATATGAGATTAGGGTTTGCCGTGTTCTGTTTATTTCGTAATCTTTGCTTGTCATACAAATTAGGATTTGTTTATGTTAATGGTTCTTATGTGAAATGCAAATGAGATTAGGGTTTGCAGTGTTCTGCTTATTTCGTAATCTTTGCCTTTCATACAAATTAGGATTGTTTATGTTAATGGTCCTTATGTGAAATGCAAATGAGATTAGGATTTGCAGTGTTCTGCTTATTTCGTAATCTTTGCCTATCATGCAAATTAGGGTTGTTTATGTTAATGGTCCTTATGTGAAATGCAAATGAACCAACAATATATAGTTTGCTTTTACTGTTTTTATATATGTTGTGGTCCATTTTTTCTGAAATCATGTGTATGTATTTTTTATTTGTACATCTTGTGGTCCCTAATGTTTTAAGGAAACAATTGAATTGAACCAACAATATATAGTGTGCTTTGTATATTTTGTGGCCCCTTTTGTTTTACTTTATATTCTCCATTACATTACCCCATTAAATTGATCATTTTATTCTTGTTTTTATGCAGGATGGCCGTCTGTTTTGATGTTAGAGTTGGAGGAGTGGTAAAATGGGAGCCTTTTGTGCACTATTTTGGGGGGGGCAGAGGGTTGCAGTTCAATGGGATGATGTGGACAAGTTGTCCATCTTTGAAATCATGGATGTCTACAAGCAAGTTGGTGGAAAATCATCAACTGTGGAAGTTCTTTCACATAAGCTTGGGAAGACCCTACAAACAGCAAAGAAGCTCATGAAGATAGACTCTAATAAAGACATCCTAGAGTTGGTGAAGAAATATGAAGGGGTTTATGTGATTCCACTATACTTTGAGGATTTACATAGACCTGTACAACATATGGACATTGATGAGAACCTCATTAGTTCACAAGAAGAGATACCTCTTCTTGAGTATCCCCACACTCAAGAGAGCATTATAGATAAGTTGTATGATGACCAACAACCATCACACATGGAAGTTGATGAGGATGGTTCCCAATTTCATGAGGCTAATGAAGAAACTACAGAAGCCATAGCAGAACCAAGCTATATGGGTGAACCTGAAGGCCAGAGAGATGATCTAACTTATGAAGATGGAGTACAACATGGTGATACCCAAGAACATGAGATGCCTCTTCAGTTTGAGGCACAACAGGGACTATAAGCACATGTTGGCCAAGAGCATGAGATACCTCATGAGTTTGAAGCACAACATGAACAATGTGAATCACATGCTGGCCAAGAACAGGAAATACCTCATGAGTTTGAAGCACAACATGGACAATGTGGATCACATGCTGGCCAAAAACATGTGATACCACATGAGACTGCACCACAGGGAGAATGTGGATCACATGATGAGGATGAAGGACACCAAAGCAAGGAGGATGATGATTCAGATGATGAAATGTATGTACCTGACCAAAGTAGTGATGATATGTCATCTAAATTGTCAGAATGGGAGTTGGAAGATCTAGAAGGCCCTGAAGATGATGATATATTCTAGTAGAGGGATCCTGATCGTGCTAAGAAAGTT